AAAAGCATAAATTGTGATTAATCTCAAGAGACTGTCTTAAACAACAACAATAAGAAAAAAGGTCTTGATTACTTTCGGTCAGGTAAAGAATTACACAAAAATTTAGTGTTCTCTATGAAAGTATCATTTTAAAATAATTTTTCTTCTACTGGAAAGTCATAGAATCTGTAACTTTAATATGTAAGTCATTGTGTGTCAAATGCCATGGTTTTTGTTATTTACCTGTTTGATGCTTTGTCTGCTTTGCTTTGCCAGAGTAACACCAGCTGACTGTCTTTTTCATATAAAAATATTCAGTTAGGAAGTGGGTCCATAACTTCCCAAACTTAACACTGTGTATGTACATGATATGATCTGGATAGAAAGTAGAGTCAGATGAGAATGAAGCTTGATATTAAAGGTTTAAAACCAAACACATCATCTCCCAACCTCATGAACCTATCAGATTTCCCTGCTGTCATCTCTCTATTCTGTTTTTGAAAGCCTCATTACCCATGTCACCCACATTTGAAACTTTGATGTCATCTTTAACTCTCTTCTCTCTTACCACTTGGTTTTAAGCCCTCACTACAGTGTGTTTTGCTGTGTTTATACCATTTATACAGTTGGAGCGAGTGAGAAAACGACACCTGAAATATCTTGCCAAATACAACTTTGAATGACATTGCTTGACTGGAACACATAAAACTGAATCTCCCAGAATTTTTTTTTGTTTTTTAGAGCAGTGGGCTGCAGTGGGCTTTTATATAACCTATCCTTCTCCTCTTAAAGAGTTCAAGAAAATGTTAAGAAGGCAGCCCAATATGCTTCCAAAAATCTTCCACACTTGCTAGGGAAAAGTATAAAATTATCTCAAGTGGTCAACTATTACAATGCACAGTACCTAGAGGGAAAGATGGATTTTTTACTAACAATTTTCTATTAACACTTTGGCATTCATTCATTTTTCAGATTAACCTGCTAAAATCTTGGAAGATAGGACAAAACTCTCTTCCCAGCATTCTATCTGGCTTTCCTCCAAATAATTTTCTTTGACAATGACAACAGTAGCATAGTGTCTTCCTAAAGGCAGAGCTAATCAAGTCACTCCTTCACGTAGAATCCTTCAGTGTTCTCATTACATGCAAGATGAAGTCTGAAAAGGTTTTGGTGATTTGGCTTTGATTCAGTTTTTCCAGCTTCTATCATTTTTGGCCACTTCTTCAAAGATGTGTTCTTCTACAGTGACTGCTCTCTCTTGCACTTGCTGGAAAATCCACTCTCTGATTTTCCACTCCCAAGGTTCTCCTTGCCTATCTGTAAGACTTAATTTAGGCAGTATCTCCTCTCCAAAGCTTACACCAGTTATCAAAGTTGAGTTTATTTATTCATTTAACAACAATTAATTGAGTGCCTACATCAGCCACTCTAGGGGCTGGGGAATGCTGCTGCAATTAAAGATCAAATTCTTATTCTTAAGATTGATTACAGAATAGTGTAGGGGAAATACACAGAAGGCGGAGGGTTCATATTGTGAAGAAATACACAATAACATGTAAATTATAAGAAATGAATAAGCAAGAGAATGTCACATAGTGCTATAAAGTATAACAAGAAAAAATACAACAAAATAGAGAGAGACTAGGGGAGGGGTAGGTGTGGCAGGCAGGATAATGAGCCACAAAGATGTCTATATACTAATCCTGGGAATCTGTGGGTATTTATCTCACATGGCAAGTGGGATTTTTCATGTGATTAGGGATAAGGACCTTGAGATGGGGAGATCCTGGTGGATCATTCAGGGGGTCCAATCTAATCACAAGTCCTTAAAAAAGAAGTTTTCCATGTTCTGGTCAGAGAGAAAGGATGATAGAACAAAGGGTAGAAGATGCAACAGTGCTGGTTTTGAAGATGGAAGAAAGGGACCATGAGTTAAGAAATGAAGTGTCCTAGAAGCTGGAAAAGGCAAGGGAACAGATTCTCGTGAGGATTATCCCGAAGGAACACAGACGGCCCTGCTGACATTTGACACCTGTGAGACTGATGTCAGACTTCTAACCTACAGAACTGAATGATTATAAATTCATGTTGTCTAAGCAAGTTTGTAGTAATTTGTTACAGTGGAAGGAGTAAACTAATACAGTAAGTTACTTAAGACCAGGTAGTCAGGGATGCTTTCTCTGAAGAGGAACATTTGAGCTGAGATGTAAATGACAAGTCAACCTTGCGAATTTCACAGGAAGAAGAGTACAGGGGAAGTGTAAGTGTCTAAGGTTGGAGCAAACTTGGCATGCTTTAAAGTAATAGTGAAGGCAACTGTGACTGGGAAAGGTTAGTGACAGGGAGATCAGTCCAGGATGAAGTCAGACCTCCAGGCAGGCTCCGGGCCTTTGAGAGCCTTTTGTTGCCGTAATTTCCATTGTAGCACTTCTGTCATATATAATGGGCACACATGGAGCCCTCTCATTACGCTGTGAATCCCTTGGGGGCCATGGATAGAATGAAGGTTCCTGGGGCCAGGATTCTCACCTGGCCCTGGTCAGCTAGATCACTACACACGTGTGGGCAGTACATTGCTATTGACTCTATAATAAAGAGCTCTGCCCAGTGGTCTGGCTTACATGGTGGCACTGCTGCAAGGCTGCAGGAGAGCAGAGCAGAGCAGAGGCTAGAGTGGTGGCAGCACCAAGGACAGAGGCCCAGACGACAGCTGTGTGGGACAACTGTGCAGGCAGAGAGGCCCAGAGGTCGGCTGTACGGACAGAGGGTCCAGAGACAGAGACAGGCTTGCTGCATGCAGACGCGCTATGAGTGAATGGGATTTTAGTGATTGACCTGCCACTGTGGAAATAAAGTTGGGTACAACCCTTTCACCCCAAGAATGTTTTACTATCATTTCTTTGGTCACATTGAATCCATAGTGAACTTTCCTGGGGCTGAAACCCATGGGCAAGACAGATCCCAGAGAGCAGGGAATGGTCTCATTCATCTTTGACCCCCAGCACAAATTAGCGCCCCAAATTTAGCAGGGCCACAAATATATAGCTGTGGGGTTGATGTTTGTGATTCTTTAGAAAAACAGAACAATGGCAAGATTAACTTCTGTTACTTTGGAAATACCAATTTCTGGGAGGTCTCTGAATTTTAATTTCTTCCTGGGTGTCATCGTTTAGGTAACTTCTTTATGGTATATTAAGGGAAAATGATTTATGGTATGTGAGTAAAAAAGCAGCAATTCAGATGACAAAATAAAATTGTTGACTGGGGTCCCTGGTGGAAATTTCAGCACTGCTTTCATGATAAGGCATATTTCTAGCAGTAAACAAAAAAGTAGTCCTTGGGTGTTTAGATGAAAAATTTCCCTACAGTTAAATCTATTTTGGAAACCAAAGTAGGGTATGAGCATTCTATTACTAGAAGCAAGTATCTGTAGAGGGCCTATTGTGTGCCAGAAGCTCATTGCATGCAAGTGCCACTTCAATCATCAAAGAACCTCTTTTATTTTATTTTTAAAATTTTTATTGAAATAGAGTTGATATACAATATTACATTGGTTTCGAGGATACAGCATAGTGATTTAATGGTTGTAGACATTACTAAATGCTCATTGCAACTAGGATAGTTACCATCTGTCAACACAGAAGCTGTTACAGAATTTTTGACTATATTCTCTATGCTGTACTTTCATCCTCATGACTGATTTATATTATGATTGAGATTTTGTACCTCTCTATCCCCTTCACCTATTTCACCCTTCCCACTGTGGTAACCACCAGTCACTTCTCAGTGTCTGAGTCTATTGCTGCTTTGTTCATTTTGTTTTGTTTTGTTTTTAGCTTCCACATAAAAGCAAAATCATATAATATTTGTCTTTCTCTGCCTGGCTCATTTCACTTACAATACTCTCTAGGTACATCTATGTTGTTGCAAATGGCAAGATTTTTTTTTTTTTTACAATGGCAAATTTTTTGGCCCTTGGCAAATGGCAAAATTTTTTATGGCTGAATAATATTCCATTGCATACATGTACCACATCTTTTTTACCCATTCATCTGTTGATGGCCACTTCAGTTGCTTCCATATTAGGAATATAAATTGGTGCAGCAATATGGAAAACAGTATGAAGTTTTCTCAAAAAACTAAAAATGGAAATACCATACAACCCGGTAATTCCACTTCTAAGAATTTACCTGAAGAAAACAAAATCTCTGATTCAAAAAGATATATACACTTCTCTATTTATTGCCACATTACTTACAAGAACGCCTTTAAAAATATACTTTTAATGGAGTAAAAGGAGGTAATGTTAAAAAGGCATGCCTTTCTTGAAATTACCTGTTAAAAATAATTTGTTTTCCAATATTATGATCAGAAGGAGAAAATGCTTGGCTTTTGTCACTGTGATGAATGGAATAAAATACTTTGAATTTAGATAATTTATTTCATTTTTACATTTGAACTGCCTTCCAAGACAGTTCCAATTTGTGATGTAATCTCTAGACATTCAATTTTGTTTCTAATTTGAAGAAGCCTGGCAATATCTTTGCTTCAGATTGGTAGTTTGTGTATTTAACCAGTCAATGCTAAATTATGTTCAATAAAATTCATCTTGGCTGTCACTATCATTGAAGAAAACAGTATGAGATCTATATATATATTCTCTGCCTGGCTCAGTTGCTTGAGATGTTTTAGATCAATCTGAGGAAAATAAATTGAACAAGTAAAAATCAACACATGAAAATCAATACCTTCAATTTAAATTTGGTCTATGAGTATAGTAATCCCATCTGTTAGTTATTCTGTTTAAATTATAATGAATCGGCACAGGAGGATGGATGTATTTTAAGATTGGGTCTGCTGTGTGGATAAAACTAAGGACCAGAAATGAAAAAACATTATCTAGTTCTTACTCAGTTCTTTTATCAATTTAGTGAAGAGCATGTGAGTAAATTATATCACATTTTTGTCCTGCACCTGATATAAGGTGTCTTAGTCTGTTTGGGCCACTATAAAAGAATACCATAGACTTGGTGGTTTATAAACAACAGAAATTTATTTCTTAGTTCTGGAACCTGGGAAGTCCAACATCAAGCTGCCATTAGATTCCGTGTTTGGTGAGAGCCTGCTTCCTGGTACACAGATGACTGTCTTCTGGCTGTGTCTTCAAATGGTAAAAGGGTTGAGGAAATTCTCTGAGTCTTTTTCATATGGGCACTAATCCCATTCATGAGGGCTTTCTCTCATGACCTAACCATCAACCAGAGTTCCCACCTTCGAATACCATCACACTGGGGATTAGGCTACAACATATAAATTTGGGGGAGACAAACATTCAGTATGTAGATGCTAAATATGTGGTACCTGGGTTTTTTAAATCCTAATAAACAAATTACTTTAAAAAACTGAATGCTCATCATTTCCTGCTCAGCTGTGTGGAAGTTAATCACTGGATTTCTAGATAAATTATTTTATATAAACTGAGGTTGTTTTTGGTGTGTTTGCTTTCTGATCACATATATTTCCAATAATTTCTCATAAAATTTTGTTTGGATAAGAAAGTTTCTTTCCATGCTTGTTTGATCATAACAGCCTCATAGTGGAACTGCTTTTAGTGTTACCTAGTCAAAATCAACTTGGCAACTAATACAAAATTTCACATTAATAGTGGCCCACAATCCCCCCAGCTTCTTCCTTGTGTTATATTGAATAAAATGCATGAATTAAAGCCTTTTTCTTTTCTCCACCATCTGTGACTTTGAATACAGTGTGTGTGTGTGTGTGTTTCAACCTAAACATGTAAAATAGGTTGTAATGTTTAATTTATGTGTCAATGGTTATGGAAAATAATAGGGTAAGTGTAGTCCACTGTTCTATAGAGTAAATTTTTCAGTTTTATTGGAAAAGAACTGCTTTTAGTGTTACCTAGTCAAAATCAACTTGGCAACTAATACAAAATTTCACATTAATAGTGGCCCACAATCCCCCCAGCTTCTTCCTTGTGTTATATTGAATAAAATGCATGAATTAAAGCCTTTTTCTTTTCTCCACCATCTGTGACTTTGAATACAGTGTGTGTGTGTGTGTGTTTCAACCTAAACATGTAAAATAGGTTGTAATGTTTAATTTATGTGTCAATGGTTATGGAAAATAATAGGGTAAGTGTAGTCCACTGTTCTATAGAGTAAATTTTTCAGTTTTATTGGAAAAGATTAATAAATATACAGGGCCAGTAACTTAGAACTACCATTTCATATTGAAATAAACATAAATATATTATGGACTAGAATGTAAAACTTGCACAAATTCTACAAAACTTCTAAAGAAGTTTGCACTTACAGGTGAGTGACTTCCAGTGAGTTCCTAGTCATGATCTTTTCCATCATGTGAGTTGGTCTTAAAACAGATGGGATTCAGAAAGTGAAAAGTATTGTAAGAAAGGAGAAGAGAACCAACTCCATTTCAGAGGTCTCTCTTCCTTTAATTAGAAAGTAAACTAACTATCCCAAAGAAGAGGCAATAGACAACAAAAACCATGAACAGGGAATAGTAATGATGCCATAGTTTTGTTTTTTATTTCCTTTTCCCATAAAAGTCCCTTTTTGATAAAAGTTAGTACTGCAGTCTTTATTTTCAAGTTCTTGTTTTAAGACCTCCCATGTATTATGAACTTCTAATTCTAGGTCTCTACATGGACTTTCACATGAGATAGATGTAATAAAGAATTGAGCAAATAGCCGGGACTTGCTACCAGGTCTGCAAAGACCATGGTTTTGGTACATTTCCATGCTGAATCCCATCATTTTTGCTCCCCTGATTTAACCAGCTAAGCACGTTTACTGGGCAGTAAACATGTCAAAAGTGAAGGTATTCACATTCAGATAATACTGTGCTGTTGTTCTCAAATTAGTCCATGTTTCACGAGCCTGCAACAAAAGGAAACTCAAGTCATGATCTCTGAGTATGTAAAGTAATTGCATCAATTGTTTTAATGATCATATGGATATTTCCAAAAGACTGAGAGAAATACAGTGGAAGAATAATACCAAATAAGGTTTGGTTTTCACTCTTTTAGTCATCTGTTTACTTCAATGCTCAAATGTTTTGTCATATTTGTGAGATCACTGTAGGAACCCATGTGGTAGAGCCTTGTCACATTACAGTGTCTATTAGTTGATCACAACATTGGCCCACAGTTATAGGCAGGAGTGTACTTGAAAATTTCAATATTTCAGAAAGAAAATACAGTCTACCAGCTTCTGTACCATTTAACTTGCCAAATAAACAAGTGCCTTGTTTTAGTACCTCTAAATGATGCCTGTTAGAGAAAACAGGCATAAAACTGGATACATTATTCAAGCTGGTGGTTTTTACCAGCAAACACTGAGCAGAAACAAACCAATCCTTGTATACTGGTCAAAATTCAGCCACACAGAGTAAGAATAGGACCCAGGTCCAGGAAAGAGATTGCATTCAATTCTTTCAGACTTTATATAACCCTGAGCTTGGTGATAGTGAGAGCCCATGCATGTGGAAAGAAAGAACAAACAAATCATTGAGGAATTAATTAATTAATTTGTTATATATTTTTGTTTTCTAAATTGCTAAATGTTAAGAGGGAAATCATGAATAATTGAAATCTTCAGATAATTCAGCAATTTCATTTGGCCCAGAATTTCAATGTTTTCCTCTATCAAAAAAGTAAATGTGGAATAAAACTGGCTAAAAAAGTGTTCTTCTTTGTTTCTCTTGGAATGAGATTTACAAGTGAATAAGAAAATGTACAAAAGGCAAACAAGGAATGACATCAGGGCTTGGATAATTGTCACAGAGGAAAATGAATTCTAAACAACTTAGAACTAAAATGTGACGCAATCCATCCATCCACCTACTGCGACATGTAATAATTTAATGACTTGACTACGTAACGGTCATTCTGCTAGGTCCTGAGAATAATGACCTTAATGGATAAGACATGCACCTTTGTAGTCTAAGCAGGGAGATTGGGTGCATGAGACAAATAATTTCAGTTTGACATTTACAGAGCTATTCATGTGTGAACAGCATGCAAAGAGGAGAAAAGAAGGAAGGACAAATGTTGCCTTGTAAGAAAGAAGGAAAGAAGGGAAAGACTT